ATTTAAATCCTATCACCATGGTCCATCTTAAAAGCTGCCATGTGGGTCACCACACCCGAGGCAAGGGAGTGAGGCAGGTGGGAAAGAAGTCTCTTCTCCACACAGGCTTCGAATCTGCTCAGGAAGATGTGCATGAGGAACCTTGTTCTGAAGTACTGCCGGGGAGTCTCAGCTGAGAGGAAAGCCATGGTAGGGTAGAAGACATGGCGCCTGCATGTGGTGGGGACCAGTCTTGCAAGTTAGATTCTTAGTTCTAAAGTTGACATTTACTGTCTACCTATGAGCCGAGGGTCACACTATTGCCATGACTTACAAAGGAGTTGAGAAATATCAGCTGCTACAGTTAGCATCCCTGTGTTACCATGGGAACAGACTCCAGATGGTCCCTGCACTGCAAGGCACGATTTCCTATGCTGGAGGACTCTTACCCCTGTGGTCTTTTCTGTGAGGCTGCAGAGTCGATGTCTGAGGCTTTCTGGGCCATATCTCCTGTTGTTCCTCTGCTTTCTTGCTAGAGGAGGAAACAGTCACAGACATGTATATATAAATGCCATAGTTTATGTCCCAATAAAGCTTTACTTACAAACGCAAGTAGCTGGTCACAAGCTGCCTCTGGGCTTGAGTTGTGTAGAGCTCTGGTCTAGGAGAGAAATGCTCCCTGTCTTAGGGTTTCTATTGCTGTGAAGAGACCCCATGACCACAGCAACTCTTATAAAAGTATCTAATTGGGGTGGCTTACATTTTCAGAGGTTTAGTCCATTATCACATGGTGGTATGCAGGCAGACATGCTGGAGCATCTTAATAGGCAGGCAACAGGAAGTGGTCTGTGTCACTGGGTGTGGCTTGCACGTATGAGAGAGCTCAAAGCACACCTCCTAATAGTGCCACACCTTTGGAGGCCATTTTCTTTCAAACTACCACACCCCCTGAAGCTCTGAAAACTCCACTCTGAGAAACCAGTGTGAATAGGGGTACCCACAAAAGTATCGGCCCACTCTCCACCAGTGGAAGCTGTAGGGCATTTGTAACAAGGCTCCTGTCTCAAGACAGCCCTGGACTGCCTATTCTATGCTCTGAACTATCTGCTTCCAGATGCAGCAAAGGGTGGTCACGAGTGACATATTCAAGGGGAAGAAGGATGGCTACGAGGACAGCTTAAACCAACCCTTCGCCAGCAGCCGGCTGGGTAGGTGTGCTTTTTTACTTTCTGGCGAAAGTCCTGCAAGTGACCGGATTCTCTCCCCAGCTGAGGTCTCAGCAGGGAACACAGACCCAGCAGATAGCAGGTCTTCCCCACAGGGTTAGTGATGGCTCATTCTGTTCTGGTTCCTTCCCCAGGTGAAGGCAACATAAACCCCAAAGTGCTTCAACTGCTTGGTAGTGAGAAAATCCAGGTACAACAACCTTGTGTATGACCTCCACCAGGACACACATGTCTGAGGCCAGGGTGTGTTTTCTCCATGAGTGTCTACAAATGCTGCTTAAACACAGGGGTGCAGCTGGGTTCACTGGGGCTCCCCACAGCCATGCTGGGCATTGAGATTACCAGGTGGCATTGCCAACAGAAGTCTATTGCCACTCCAGCATTCTGCCTGCCATCTCCCAAACCATCTTGGTTTCTTTTCTATGAAACTGAGAGATGTAGCCAGGACCTTTATTGTGAGACGCCATATTGGTGAGCAGCAGTAGAGTGATGACCCTAGTACTGACACTGGTCTGTCAACACAGCCTCCAGGAGTTCCCAGGCAGGTTACTGCTTCTACTCACACGTGGCTTTGTGGGGTGGCTAGAGGGTGTGGGGGGGGTTGTAGTCCTTGCTCGTGTGTCTGGTGGTCACTCTCACCTGCTTGGTTGTGGACAAAAGCAGAGAGAGAGAAGGAGACTCCCCTCTGACTGTAGAAATCCAGGCACTGAGAATATTCTCCTCACTGCTGGCCTCTCAGAGCAGACCTGGGAGGCTGGAACCGCAGCCTCAGTTTCCTCAGAGGGCTGAGTAGTAAGACAGTACTCACAATTGAAATCTTCTAGAACCAGGGCAGCAAAGCAAAAGCGTCAATACAAAAGCTGAGTGGGTGCCACTGGGTCCCAAGAGAGAGGCTCTGTCCCCTGCCCTCAGGTGAGGCAGCCTTTACCTCCTGGTGACACTAACCATCTTGCAGTATGGCGTCCCTGTCATCAAGTATGATAGGAAAGGCTTCAAGGCACGGCAGCGGCAACTTCTCCTCACTTCTAGTGCAGCATACGTGGTGGAACTTTCCAAAATCAAGCAGAAGATCGAGTACTCGGCCCTGAGAGGTGGGTCGCAAGTGGGTGTCTGATGTTTCTCATGTCCTGGGATGGGGCTGCTTGCTGAGCTTTAGGGTTCAGTGGATGCACCTATCTCTGATCCCCCCAGACCCCCAGTGCTGGGGTTTCAGGTGCCCTCAATACGTCTCACTTTATGTGGATGCTGGATATCCAAACTCAGGTCCTCATGCTTGGCCATCTTTCCAGGCCCCGTCGTCTTTATTAATGCCAAATTCTGGATCTATCCTCAGGTGTCTCCACCAGCAGCCTGAGCGATGGAATCCTGGTCATTCATGTTTCACCAGGGGACAAACAGCACAAGGTACCTGTATGCGGCTTCCAGCCTCTGCTGGTACGGAAGCAATCTGCTATGGCTGAAATTAAGTCGGAACCTGCCAGAACGTCCATATTCAAACCACCCATCCTGAACCTGCCCTATCACCCGTCTCCACAGGGGGATGCCATCCTGCAGTGCGAGCACGTATTTGAGGTGGCCACTAAACTGGCCATGCTGATTAAGAAGGAACATGCCGTCCGTGTTGTTCAAGGAAGGTAGGGGCTTACTCACTGTTGCAAGGCTGCCAGCATGAGTCCTACCTGCTTCTTCCTGCAAAAAGGTGTGTGTGGGTCCTCCAATGGGGACTAGGGGGCTCCAGAGACTCCCCTTGCCTCTGTAGTAAAGAGCATGCCTTTCTCCATCCTGACCTTGGGCTCAGGGTACCCAAGTCAGCATCACTGACCTCAGGAAGTCATCCACCTTCAGTTTTCAAAGAGGGCCATTCTCATTCATCTAGAGGCTACAGGTCCACCTCTGCTGTGGTGGGATGCCTGTCCAGATACAGCACTACAGGTGCCTATGGACTGACTGGCCAACAGAGGGCTGGTGCTTTTTATCTTTGGGCAGGGAGAGTGGTAAAAGAACTGGCACTGAGAGAGAGAACTGTCAATTCCCTCAGTAGCACTGGAGCAGCCCCTTAGCTGTTCAATTCCCCAGCAAGGCCAGCTGAGGTCAGGCTACCTAGCATGCCTGAGGTCCTAGGCTGCCAGTGAGGCTGTGTGGACTGAAGCCCATACCCGACTGGGACTGTTCTCTGCCTCCAGCTTTTACAGCCTAGTGGGTGCATCTGCAAGTGAAGAGCGAGAGTGCACACTCTTAAATGTGCACCTGCTCTGATGGAACTTGGACTAGTCCTTGGGCAGCTGTGAGCTTCTACAGAAACCATGCATGCTGTTATTAATGCATCAGATGGCCCTCTAGAGAGCCCAATTGCTGAAATGATTTGACAGTGACTACAGAAGCATGTGAGGGCCCAATTGTGAGAATGTCCTGATTGGCCACATACATAGCAAACAGTGTGATAAAAGCAGGAATTCAAACATCAGCTAGGATAGTTTGCCAAGGAAACTTCTTTCGCAGACCAGAAAGCATGTCAGTAATTTGTCACTTGCTTTGTTTTAAGTTTACAGTTTTACATCAGTCCTGGGAAAGAAGGCACAATAGTTTTTGAGACTGGAGTGGAAGACCAAGTCTATAAGGATAAAAACGGACATTTAACAGTAGTGAGTGGCTGTGTGCAAGGGAGGGAAGGGGGGAGGTGCTAGATATGTAGATTCACATAACAAAGGTGATCTCATTTCCCCCTCTAGTCCCACCTGGTACTCTGGGAGAAAGGAACAGAGTGACCCTTGAAATAGTGGCCCAGTAGTGAGTGAGATGGGGCAGCCAGGTGTCATCGAGCCAGAGGCTCACATGGCAGTTGTCATTCTAAGGACTAAAGCCCAGGGGCTCACTGGCTTACAAAAGCCTCTCCTATGTGCTCAGGAACCACCCTCGTGAAAACTGGGGGCCGAGTTCCCACACAGTGATCACAAGCTCCTCACAGTCCTTCTGGATTGCAGCAATCTGAGGATGTTTTTAAGTGCTATGTTGCAAGGAAGCAACGTGTTGAAAGCAGATGGGGGTGGGATCTATGAAATGCATTTTCTCAATACATTTGAGTTTCTATGTAAAACTGGTTTGCAGCTATAAATGGTTCACAAGGGTTACTTTGAATGTGAAGGAGGCAATCTTTTAGTGACCTGAGGTGCTGCCAGGACTCTGTGGCCACACAGTCCATCCTTCTCTGTGCCTCTATGCGCACTTACTCTAACTGTGCTGGTCCCTTAGGAGGTAGAAGGGGCTCCCAGTGGTAGCTTCCTCTCCCAGGGCTGAGGCTCTAAAGCCCGGTGTCCTCCTCAGGTGTCGGGAAGGAAGAAGACCTGACAGAGGATGACCTTTGCCTTCCAAAGTCACTATTTCAGCTCCAACTGAGCAAGCACGAATTTGATCCAGTTAGCCACATCTTCAGAAGCTCCTGGAGACTGGATTGCATCAGCAGAACCCGTGCTATGGCAAAGCCAGACCTTAGCCACTTGGATGCCAGGTGGCACTGCATCCAAATGTTTCCTGGGAGTCAACCTTGAGTCATTCACCTGTCCCCAGTAGAACTCAATTCAGGTAGGGTGGGACTCAAGGGAATTCTGCTGTAAATGACACTGCCATACTGCCAGGGACTGGGCCAGGTTCCCACAAGCACTTTAGATCCTAGAGCATGTTTGCACACGCCCTACTGAACAATGACTCAGCTCTGAAGGAGGAGCTAGGGCCCTTTGCTCTCTACTGGTGTCAGCAGCCCTGAAGACAGTTGTTCCCGAATAGACCAGAAGGCAGATGTGAGTAGAAACACAGTTGAACTTTTATTTTACATGTGTCCACAGATGCTTGTACAACAGTGAGCATGTCTAAACTCCCAACATTGTTTCCACAGTGTAGACAGGAGGTTAGTGATGTGCTAAGGTGACCAGTGACTTTGGGTGGAGCCCTCTAGCCCGCATGCACCCTGGGGGAGGGCAGAATACCAGCAGTGAGCAGCAGGTACGGAGGTTGCACCTAAATGCGACCATGATTTATAGAGAGATCAAACAGCCCTTCTTCCATAAGAAGGTGACAGGAGGCCATGCCAGGACCTGCTGGGGGTGTGGGCCCCAGTCGCCACACACACTGAATTTGGTTACCATGGACAAAAAACTATTCCAATTTAATTGTGAGCCATTAGTGTGCAATAAAACTCCGAAGTCTTTACACCAAACTCAAGACCAGTGATTCACTGGACGGCTCTGAACTAGAAATGCTGACTACTGCTCTTCATGCTAGCCCTGAAAATCTAGAAGCAGAGCTTTGGAACGACTGACGCTGGGTCAGGCCCTAGTGGACACAGCTGCCGGCGGTATCAGGCACCATGGAATGTTTGCCAGGCCTGTTCCCATCCCTGGGAGCGGAGGTGCAAAGCTGCAGGCACAAGGATTGAGGAAAGAGGAAGGAAGAGAGAGCTGCCGAAACAGTAACCATGAGGTGCAGGGGCCACTGCAAGTCAATTGGGCCACCAACTCATTCTGCACACCAACATTTAAACAGTGTATACAATGGCTTTTTCATTCCTACAGAAAACACCAGGACTCAACATTCACTTTTACTCCCTAAAAAAGCTGAACCCACAGGGCAGGGCTGACGTGTGAAACAAACAGTATAAAAACTCATAAAACATGATTTGTAAGCTCCCTTTCTTGGCTCGTAATACAAAAGTTTCACCACACCACTGTGTAAAAAACATCTACCCGGTACATGGTTCCTCGATCCAGTCGGGATTGTTTATTGTTGGCTTTGCTGCCAGATACAAGAGATACGACTGTCACGCACAAAGTGAGCTGTAAAAACCCTCACAAAATAGAAACTTTAGAAGCACGTCAGAGATTACCCACTTCATACCTTTGGTCTAAAAAGTAGTAACAATTCCTTCATCAAGCATCCTTGCCTTACCTTGTAACTAGTGTACTCACAACCACCAGTGTCAGTCGTGACACATCTGCACAGGCGCAGAGTGGACTAGAGGTAGCTGGCATGTCCTCCTCATGCACCTGTGCCCCACAGTCACACATCCCCACCAGCAGTCACACACATCCTCGAACACAAACAGGACTCAAGGTATCTGCACACCAATGAACTCTGCAGAGAAATAAAAGTTGAAGGGAGCTACAGGAGATAGCAAGCAGGGAAATGCCCTGAGACAGTCTGCAAGCTCCTAGCGGTGTCTGTGTCTGGGTCCACACAGTTCCTAACCAAGGGCAAAGCACCTACTTGAGGAAAAGGAGGCCTCGCAGGGAGCAGACCCTTAAGGCAGTGGTCTGGAGCAGTGGCTGGAAGTGTTCAGATGACCTGGGGTGGGGTGTGTCAAGCCCAGCAATGGGAAGGACACAGATGACAGCAGAGCCCACTGCCAGGAAACGGTCTGGTCCTTGCCAGACAGTGGGGCTGGCAGCACATGAGGTCCCCTGTCCACTACTACAGGATGAAACTATTGGCCAATGAGAACTAGTCACAAAACCATGTACGGAACAGACTCCCAGCATGGTCAGAACAGAGGGGCCAGGCTGCTCCCAGGCATCTTGGTTGGCTGCTTGCCAACCACACAGCCTCTCAGAACCGTCAAATGAGCCCTTGAAGGAGTGTCACTTAAGAAGCCCTAATAGGTAGTCAACACCCATAAAAATAAATACCACAACAAAGGCTCTCACATACGTGTCAAACTCACTCATACTTTTCCTCCAAGAGCCGAGAAAGCCCAGCTCTGGGCTCTCACAAGAGTTTGAGCCCTCAGACAAGCTTGTTCAGAAGGGGTGCACACCTGGGTCAACACAGAAGCAATCCACTGTGTCGGAGAAATATCAAAATAATCATCTGGCTTGTTACAAAAGTGACTCCAGGGGAAATGGGAGGTACCCCGAAGCCTGCACAGGGTCTGAGGGGGCAGGGGCAGAGAGGGTGGAGGGCAGCTTTGGCTGGCCTGCTCACTGGTGGAGGTGGGCCCGGTCGTCTGGGCGCTTGATGTGGATCCTCCGTACTCGCTCGATCCTCTCCCGTTCCCGCTCCTCGTCCTCGTCCAGGTGATGGGAGCGCCCAGCCGCCCCACCTGTGGCCTCCAGAAGTGCATTGTCAGGTCCTCGGCCATCCTGGGCCTCATACAGCAAAATGTTCAGGGTCTCCTCATAAATGCGGGCTTCGGGGAACTCAACCTGTGCTCCAAATAGACAGTGGGTACATTAGCAGGCTGCATACGGCCATTACCTCACACTGTACTTCCCAGCAGGGCTGTCAGGCTGACAATGAAGACAGTCACAGGGGAGCCCAGTGTCACAGACTTGGGGGAGCAACCCCCTTTGTCAGCCGTTTTCCTACACTGGAGCCTCCAGCAGACTGCTGGCTGCACCCACAGCCTATAGTTGCTCAGTTACTGCCTGCCTTCCTTCCTGGTGAAGGGTTGTGGTCTGAGAGGGCTGGGTGAATGAACACCTGATGCTTGTTCACAGCCTCCTGCCAGGTGCTCTCAGACACAGGCCTCGGCAGGGAAGACAGCAACAGCTGGGAGAAGCAAAGCCCCAGCTTTTGAGCAACTGAAACAAGGGAGCCCAGGACAATGAAGGTCCTCGGGGACTGTAAAGGTGGGAGCCTCGGAAACTAGGAGCACCGCAACTCCCACAGTGGCAGGATCTGCTCCTCCTCACACAGACCAGCAGTGGACACTCCCCATCCAAACAGACTGGCCACACACAGCAGGCATGAGAGGCTGAGGCTGGGAAATCCAATTGCCACTAGAACTCCAAGCACAGAGCTGGTTGGAGCTTGTGGCCTGAATCCCACAGTGGCAACTGTCAGCAAAAACAAAACACAATATATTGGGGCCTGTGAGATGGTTCAGCGGGTAAAGGTGTCAAGTCTAACAACCTGAGTTCAACTCCCAGGACCCACATGGGGTAGAAGAAAACCAATGCCCACCAATTGCTCTCTGACCTTCATCCACATGCCAAGGGAAAGAAGACAGAGATTAAAAACAGAAACAACAAACACAGTTCCTAGGAACTGGAAAAGACCTAGCATCCTATAACTTACACTCAAATCAGTTAAGACATGGTTCTAAATTCCTCAGGATTGTGAAGAAGCAAGAAAACCTCAGTTCATGGGAACGCTCACTTAGCAGATGCCAGTGCTAAGAGGACACAAGATGCTGGAATCACCCAACAAAGGACTGAAAGCAGCTGTTACTCAAAACACAGCAGCAGCAGCAGCAGCCAGCAAGAAGTGAACAGAGAGAAGTGAATGCGCTCGCAGACCTGAAACACAACAGCCCACAGTCAGGCTGGCGACAGTCAAAGCTCATGGAAGCCACACAATTACAACAGTGACTCATAAACGGCAAACAAAGCTCTGCCAGATTACCATCTACTCTGCAAGGATTAGAGACCTGATTAAAGGCTGCACAGGGACAAGTGAGAAGAGCACCAGGAATGACCCGGAACACGGTCATCAGGTCTCCACCATGCAAAACCCCAGAACAGCTTAGATCATGACTCAAGTGTGGACCCCACAGCTTGAATGTCTGGGGACAAGGAAGAGGAACTATTATCACTCAGGACCAATCCTGCTGCCAGAAACTACCTGGAAAACCAAGGCCTTGGGCTCCCCTGAGGGGCAAGGTCATCCCCTAAGGAGCCAGGGAGAGGAGAAGGGCCCTGACCCTAGGCTTCCTCCTGGAGATTTCCGCTTGTCTGAGACTACTTGGGCTCCAAGCAGGCGCCTGCTGAATCCCTTTGCTCCCCATTAAGCTCTAAAGTGAGGGCTGGGAACAAGAGCTTACTGGGAGCATGATGCAGCTTGCACAGTGAGTGGGTGGCTCTGGCCCCCGCCATGTTTCCAACAAAGAGCCTCAGCACTCTTCCCTTGGCTACCTCAGAAGCAATCTCTACCTGCCACGGTAGATTAGCATAGGCTGCCCAGCCAGACCTGTGCAGGGGAGGAACAGGAACACAAGGGGAGCCATTGTCACAAGGTAGTGGCCATGACGCCGTTGGGTGATGTGCAGCATGTGGCACTCTACTTGTCAGATCCTGTGACTTCAATTTTTCATCATCAAATAAAGAGTCCTGTATCTCTCTGTGGTCTGTTTTTATATCACCAGTGTTTTGTCAGCTCTGGGACCCCATAAAACTACATCTCCCAAAGCTGCAGGTGTGACAGTAACCTGATCCGGTGACTGACGGACTGTACATAGGTGACTAGAACCATGGCAATCTGCTTTTGCAGAATCAATGTCACAGGTGATCAGAAAGAGGTGACAGAGTACACACAGCAAACAGAAGGGGAGAGTGGGAAGGAGGTAGGCCACGAACTCCCTAATGGGCAAGTGGGCCTACGAAGCGCAGCCCTGACAGCTAGTCGGGCTTCAGTCACCCTCTGCCATACGATAAATCCAATACCCAGCTCAGTGAGGAGTCAGGTGGCTGGGAAAGGTGACATGTGGGAGGCTGCAGGGCTGCTCAGGGGATAAGAGCACCGGCGGCTCTTCCACCACACCTGAATTTGATTGCCAGGATCCATGCCAGGTGGCTCACAATTGTAACTCTAGCTCCAGGGAATCCGATGCACCTGCACTCACAGGTACATACCCACATACAGATATACACACCTGCAGACAGTAACTTAAAAGGAATGGCCTGTGGGGTCTATGACAGTGGAAGGCAGACCTAGGTCAGCAGAAAAGAGGAGGACAGAGGGTGGACAGCCAAGGGTAGTCAGGGGCAGCTTGAGGGGGCAGCAGGGCTACCTGAGCCTTGACAGGGCCAGGCTGGTGGAAAGCACTCCTGCATGGAGGAGGACAACCCAGCCTGGCCCATCAGAAGGGCCAGCAACACTACATAGAGGACAACCCAGCACGGGCCATCGGAAGGGCCACCAATGCCACACGGAAGCACTGACAGTCGGGTACACACAGGTGCAGGAACAAACCTCAGCTAGTGGGGGAAGCATGGTCATGTCTACTTGCCCAGTCTCAGTAGAAACCACACTTGTTCCTGAGACCTACATACAGACCTGCCCTAGCCCAATGAGGTGGGCAGGGAGGGCATATGTGTCAGCACACACTTAGGACCATCCACACAGTTCTTACCTTGGTCTGCTTCTTCTCGGTGGCATAGACGATAGATGTGCAACAGACTTCCGCAATCTTTCGGCCCTGGCCATAAAAGGACCAGCAGCAGATTTCATCCCCGATGACGTCCTTTATGAATAGGACCCTCCCATTAAAGCGCAGGGAAAGTTTATCAAAGAGCTCGATGTTCTTCAACATATTGTCGTCAGAATTGCTGCAAAGAGTGTTCAGTGAGGTGAACACAGGCTGCAGATGTCTGCCCAGGCCTCCCTGGTTCCTTCTCCTTCTCTATTTCTACTTAGTGAGCCTTTGCAACACTAAGACACTGTAATTATTTACTGCCCGAGAAGGAAAAGGACGCCCAAAGACATCAGTTCACCAAGTCCCAAAGTGTACAAATGGCAGAGCTAGGTCTCCAAAGACAGTTGTGGCCTGAAGGCTGTGCTCATAACCCATGGTTGCAGTAGATTACTGAATGCAGGACCTCTGGGCACAGGCTACTGAGCCTGCCCTACCCTTCTCTGCCAAGCCCCATGAGGTACATAACAGCAGAGCCCAAGGAAGACCTTTGTTTTGTTTTTGTTTCTTTCAGACAGGGTAGCCCTGACTGTCCTGGAACTCACTCCGTAGACCAGGCTGGCCTGGAACTCAGAGATCCTCCTGCCCCTGCCTCCTGAGTGTTGGGATTAAAGGTGTGTGCCATCACCGCTCAGCTCATTAAATCCCTACATCTCTCAAGTCGCTCATTTACAGGGTGTGTTCCTGAGAGCCAAGGGGACTCTAGAAACACCTGCCACTTGCTGGTGGCACTGTTCAAACAGTACAGTCCCCAGTAACTAAACAAGTCACAGATGACCAGCAGCTCACTCCTCATGTTTAAAAGAAAGGAACACCTCAGTCCATAAAACATTAAACTTAAACTTTCAGCAGTATTGTTCATAATCGTCAGAAGCTGCCAACGACCCCACGCCTGGCCATGCTGATGAGTGAAGTGTGACAGTTTGCCATAAAGGAGAATGACATACGGATGGTGCTACAGTGCATGGACCCTGAAAACATTACCTTAAGTGAAGAGATCAGCCGCAAAATCATGACATGTTTGAAACAGGCAAATTTACAGACACAGAAATGTAGGCTAACAACTGCTCTGGCCAGGGAAGCTGAGAAGGACTGCTAGCAGGGTGAAAAAAATCTTTCAATACTAGCAAGTGTTGGTGACTGCACATTGTGGGTATGTCAAAACCACTCAACTGTACAACACAAAAGGTGAATTGTGTGGCATGGGGAATTCCACCCAAAGTTTCACCTACCCATCTATCCACCCAGCTAAGGACCCAGAGGACCCTTCTGGTGTGAAATAGACACAGGCAGAGCCTGGCATAACTGCTGGCTGGTGCTTACCTGGTGTAGGAGTATTTGTTGTTACTTCTGTTATAGAGCAGCTTCACAGCCGGCTGTGGGTGGGTAAAAGGAGAGGACAGTCACTAGACATGTGGGTCAGTACACACTGGCTTCCCAGTGGCTGTGGGCACAGGCTTGCAGAGCTTACAGGAGGAGGGTTGCTGCGGGTTCCGGGGACAGGGGTAACATAGGAGATGGGGCTTAACACTTAGAACGGGAACTTTATCTCAAAACACAGGCACTGCTGCCACCCCTGCCTCTGAGCCTGGACAACATCTCCCCCCCCCCACACACACATCCCACTCCCAAGCCTCTACACACCTTATTTGAAGTCGCTATAAGTCTCTGTTCTTCCTTGGAGGAGGTGATGACAGGAACCTTGCAGAAGGGTTCATAAGTATCTTTGTTCTGCTGGAACAAGACATGCTTTCAGCCCGGGGGTCTGCCTAGCACACAGCTGTTTAAGCTGACCAGCCAGAAAGCCAGGCCCTGATGAGGAGACACAGGACAGTCATGGCGGGAGGAGAGGACACTTTGCACCTGATAATTAGGAAGGGTAAGGCTAGGGGAGGAGTCTGCTGTTTAGGGCTGTGATATGCCTGACTGCCCACTAAATACAAGAATGACACAGCTCTCTCTGCCCAGGAAGCCCTCAGTATGTCAGGCGGTGACATCAAAAGCCCCTACAATCCACTCTAATGACAGCAGCAGAATGAAGAGAACAGGCAAAGTGGAGTCAGAAGACAAACTGCGTCATGGGTTGAGCTGGCAAGCAGACTCCAGCTGAAAGGCAAGGAGGGAGCCAGAGGGAGCTCATGTGAGGGAAGAAGAAAGCCTGAAAGTCCTCGGGGACCACTGCAGACTGGGGGCTGGGGTGAGGGCAGAGCCAGCTCAGTCAGCCAAAGAAAGGTCCACATTCCTGCAGTGGTGACAGAGGGCAGAGATGCGTTACTGCTCTAACAATGTGCAACTCCCCCAAGCCTTCTGAAAGCCTGGATTTCAGGCAATGCCACAGCTGGCAGTAGAGAGCTCCTCACAGGGCATCATCTTCTGAACAAGAGGCTATCAGTGAAGTCAGTCAGTCTATTATCCAACCACGAAGGCTCCAGAAGACTAGGACTGACAGCCCCACATATGTGGCTTTTCCTTGGGCCTCAACAGAAACCAAGGGTCATCCAATTATGTATGGGAAGCCTCTCAAACATGACACTGGAACCAACAGAAACAGTGAAAATTCAAGGGAGAGAGCCACTGAAGGAGCAGACAGAGCAGATTGAATGACAAATAGATGGGGGAGGGGAACCTTCTGAAACAAGGGCAACACAACATGAAAACAGCTTCCAGACATGGTAGGGAAGTGACAAGGAGCCATGTCCTGGAGGATGAACCTCAGATCTGTAGACAGAAGCCAGAGGACATGTCCCGACACAAAGGTGACAGAGGATCTTGGAGACATCTGGACAGTCCAGCATGAGACTGGCCCTCCTATCTGTGAACCTGGGGATCAAGTAGGGACAGAAATGCAATTAGAAATCAAGCAAACAAAATGCCACAGGGCACAGCAAGATTGACAATGACAGGGTGAACTAGGACACTGTCTAACCCAAAGCTGTGATTAAACTCTTCTGCGAGAAGGAACATGCAAGCTTGGTGGAGGGGAGGGAATATACGAGAAGTCTAATTTTCTAAGTCCAGTAGGTCCTGTCTAAAGCTAAGAATAGACAGCAGCAGAGAGCCTGCCTGGGGAAAGGGGCATGGGAGGTGGGAAGGCAATGGTGGCACAAGCCATCAACCATGCAGTGTCGCTGTACTTCCTGCATGATGTGCCTGCACAATGTCAATAAATGTAAGAATGACTCCAGTGAATGGATAACATTTACAAGGGCTCACAGGCAAGAGATGTGTGTGGCAAGACAATGAATACTGTCCCAGTGAGGGCTAGACACAGCTCCAAGGCTCAGGGAAGGCTTAATCACAAGCTATCGCAGCACAAAGGAAAAGCTACTGACTACATGTGCTCTGTGGATTTGGCCCTTACTGGTCCTGCTTCAGGATACACAAAGAGTAAAGGGAGTGTGTCTGGAGGTTTCTCTGGACTTCCAACAAACATAGGGAGGCAGTCTCAGGGTGGAGCTTGAAGGATTGCAATCTACAGATGACACAACTGCTAAGGTAAAGATCTGAGCACAAAATGTTTCTCAAGTACCGTCAAGTATCACCTAGACAACAGCATCCCAGGTGGGATGTACAAATGACCACATTCTAATGATGGGGGAATGGTTCCCTGACAGTTGTGTTCAAAACCTTTGGAAGCAGAGCTCTGTTACAGCAAGTAGATCCCAGGGTTACTCTGCAAACGTCTCCCAATGTCTCAATGAGGTAGGGCCCATTTGCAGTGGGGAAAGGAAGGTGGCAGATAGATCCGGCATCCCGCATGTGGGACACACAGAAGGGTGCCTACTTGTAGGGCAGCCTGGCACTCTTCTAGCAGTCCCTGTACCAGGTAGTACTTGGCCTCCGCCAGCAGCTCCTCGATCTCCCGGCGGCTCTCAGGCAAGGGCACAGCCCCATCTCGAAGGTAATTGAGTATTGTCCCGAAGTGCTTCCCGCAGCGGTCAATAAGGATCCAGCCTGCAGTGGGGTGACAGGGTAACCAGTCACACGGCAACTTTTCAGAGAGGTGAGCACGACGGCTGGGCACCATCACCCCAGACTCCTGTGGTCATAAGCCCATGAGGTCCCAGGGCAGCTAAAGCCTGAATGTGTGCTCTGAAGGACCTGGCAAACACCTGAGAAACCTGAACCCGATGCCAGCAGCAGAGCCAATCCACCAGACATCCTGACTATGATCTCCAATCGGCAGAGACCTATCCATGACTTCACACAGCAAGCACTCCTGGGCTAGTGGCAGCAACACAACAACAGAGTACATCAAAGGGCTCAGACGTCAAGCCTTTCACTGGATACGGAAGAATGTTCTACCTTCTGGCCAGCCATGAGGGTAAAGGCCAAGACCAACCCTCTGCTAACCAGTGTCCTCTCCAATTGTCACTGGCTTACTACTCCTCTGCCCTGGCCCCTGGTTTTCAAAACTCCTCTCCTGAAATGTGACATATCTGGGAGGTATTCAGAGGAGGCCAGGCCTGGACCCTGGTGACAAAGAAGCAACAAAAAGAGTTACAAAAGATGAAGACTTGTGATCTCTCATGAGCGAGCACATGGGAAACACTCAAAAGCATTTGAAGGGGGAGGGGTGGCTGGCAAGATGGCTCAGCAGTGAAGAGCACTGACTACTCATCTAAAGGACCCGGGTTCAATTCCTAGCACTCACATGGTGGTTCACAACCATCTGTCATTCCTGTCTCAGAGCATCAATATCCTCCTCTGACCTCTGTGGGCACAGGGCACTCACATGGTACACAGACATGTGCAGGCGAAACATCTGTACACATAAAACAAAGTGAAACTAAAGCAGCCTGGATAAGCCAGCCCACACAGGGACTGCAGTCCACACAGGATTGCCGGCCACACACACAGGGACTGCCGGCCACACATACAGGGACTGCAGCCCACACAGGGACTGCCGGGCGGCTAGGGGCTTGGTCATGCCTGCTGACCAGTGCACACAGCATGGTATGGACGGGTAAGCAGGAACCCGGCCCCCACTACCTTCCCACTCTGGTCCCTGTTGGGAGCAGGAATAGGAACCTCTACTTCTGACCCCATTATATCCTGCCCTGGGTCCTTAGACCCCTAAGCCACGGGGAGAGGACAATAAAAGTACCTTTTCAAATGTCAAGTCACACATCTGGCCACCTCATTTTACCCTCATTGAAAGGTTCAGGCATTACGCTGACCTGCCCCTGTTACCTGGCAGAATCCACTCAGGCAGTACCCTGGTCAGCTCAGGGTTCCATGGGAACTAAGTCTGCACGCAGGTGTAGAGGACCCCTTTAAAAGACAGACCCCTGCCCATTTACACTCTCTCTGCCCCTCTTCTCTTCTCTCTGCCTCTCTCTCTCTGCCTCTTCTCCTTTCTTCTATTTCTCTCTCACTTGCTCTCCGTGATATAATAAACTGGTTAATATGTCTCATGTCTCATCTTGTGCCCCCTCTTCTTTATTTCTAATTTAAGCAAAATAACAACACATGTCTGCTATCTCTAGCCTCTGCCAATGGCCTCTTGTGGTTTTGGTGCTGAGATTTCTGTATCCCCACAAGGCCACCCCCATGTCCCTCTCCTGGGCCTCCTCACACTGCTGTTCCTGTTCCTTCTGCTAAGAGCAGTCTCCCTCCAGAGCCTTCAGGGAAACTGCCACACACTGTGTTTCCTGCATGGAGCAGGAAGAGGAATGCGCCATCTAAGAACACAGACATGTGCTGCTAAGCGAGCTGGGAAGGTAAGTCCTCCTACAGTGACCCCTAGGTGCCATACAGTCCTCTTTCTAGATCTGAGAAAACAGGAGAGGCACTTTCTATTGTACACAATGCACAGCCAGCAGCCTAATGTGTGCAGCTGGGAGGTTCAGGCCAGGAGCCAAGAAGGAAAGTGGGTCCAGGCTTCTTGGGCTCTAGCACTCCAAGCAAAGTTAGAAATTCAGATTTTCTGTCAATCGCCTTATTTTTAAAGGATGATAAGTTAAACAGTTCTCAACCCATTAAAAGGCGAATGAAACACGGATATGTATGTAAGTTGAACTCAGCCTACATGCATTCGGCTTACAGCCCCCAAGTCCCCTAGACCAAATGAGGACACAGTATGGACTGACAGGATTGTTCCTCAACTGCTCTTCTTGGGGGAGACATTCTCTGCACCTCCACAGATACAGAGTCCCCAAAATGCTTGGTGGCATTCCAAAGAGGGGGTGGGGTCAGGATTCAGCCACTAAGAGTAAGAGAAATAGCAGTCAGTGACAAACTTGGCTGACAGGGAGGAGCCTGCCTGTGTCCTGCCTTCCAGGCATGATCAGCTCAAGCTGCTGGGGAAAGGCCAAGAGCCCCCAATTCCATCACCCAAGTGACAGCCCAGAGTTTCCATAAACGAACAGGCGGTCTTTGACACTGGGCTCCAGCTCAGGAACGTCAGGAAATGCTTGTGGGGAAGGCATACTTTTTGAACAAATAAGGGCAAAGGAGCCAGGCACACACTCCATGCGGTTTCAATTAGCATTTTGACTGGAAATATTTTGGTTGCTCTCAAAGCAGGACTCTATCCCTCAGTCAGCTCGGGTGCCTGCACAGAGAATAGCAGTCAGACAGCCAGCAAGCAGCTCCTTGCTCCTCAGAGCACATGGCATTTAGGGCAGCTTACAGGGCCATCAGGACACAGGATGGGCAGTGCAGTCCTGAGGCTCTGACTGTACTCCAGGATGCCTCAGTGCCTACATGGTGCTGACAAGCAGGGGCTCCTGTTAGAGCCCCAGCTCTGTCACTGCCTGCTCCACCCCTCAGTACTCAGCTGTCACTGCCTGCTCCACACCTCGGTACTCCCCTTGGGTTCTCTGTCCAGCCGTCTCTGTGCAGACAGAATGCGCAGTGCTGACATACAAGTATGGCCAGAGAATGGACATAGAGCATAAGCACAGCATCGGGCTATCGCTATCACTCACAGTTAGTGATGGGTCAGCAACAAGGACACATGGCATCCTGGCTGCTAGAGAGGACAGCAGCAGGACCTGGAAGCCAGGAGAGAGTCAGTGCTACTTTCAGGGTACCAAGGCTGGGGGTGGGAGTATTGCTGGGGCATGGGACTACTGGGCTCACAAAAGCACACTGGCGTTTCCTCTCTGGAGAAGCTGGGCTCTCCATCCCCTTCCCGTCCTTCTCTAGGAAGCCTTTCCTCACCACACTCAGGTACTTACAACTCCAAGCCTGCCCAGTCTCCACAGTCACTCAATTCCTGAAGCCCAGTCTCCAAGGCAGGATTTCCAGCACTGGTTCTACTGCTCAAGTGGATTTATTTTTGAGATGGAGCCTGCCCAGTGCACTGCAAAGCGTCAAGCAGCATTCCCAGCACCCAGGTTGTGACAGCCCAAAACATCTCTGGACATTGCTAAATGTCCCTTAGGTCACAAACAACAGCAGTCCTTATCTGAGAATCAATGAACCAAATCAGGACCAGATCAGAAGATAGGGCTGAAGTGCAGACAGTCCGACCTAGCAAGTTCGTTTCCCAGACTCTTTCCCAGTACTGGGAGGGAGGGGTGAAGAGGGAGGGGAAGACAGGGACAGGGAGGAAAAAAAAGGAGGGAGGAAGGAGACAGAGACCTGACTGCAAAAGCAATGTGTAAATGATGGAAGCTGAGGTACGTCAGACTGGGGGATGTTGCCTACAAACAACCACATGGAACAGGATCCAGACATGTACCTTTACAGAGCAGCATGGTTTAGAAAGAAAGAAAGAAAGAAAGAAAGAAAGAAAGAAAGAAAGGAAGGAAGGAAGGAAGGAAGGAAGGAAGGAAGGAAGGAAGGAAGGAAGGAAGGAAGGAAGGATGGAAGGAAGGAAGGAAGGAAAGAAGTAGCAAATTAGATGCATGCTATAGACTATTTAAAGATGTGTTACATTTGTTTATGCTGTAGAATATTACTTTTTTTGTTTTTTTTGGTTTTTCAAGACAGGGTTTCTCTGTGGCTTTAGAGGCTGTTCTGGAACTAGCTCTTGTAGACCAGGCTGGTCTCGAACTCACAGATATCCACCTGCCTCTGCCTCCTGAGTGCTGGGATTAAAGGCATGCGCCACCAACACCCAACTTGTAGAATATTACTTTAAGTGTATAAAGATGTGTTACATTTGTTTCTGCTGCATTTGTTCAATTATTAAAAGCTGTGTTGCTGTTTCACCTTGCCTGCCTAAGGCACCTGATTGGTCTAACAAAAAGGTGAACAGCCAGGCAGAGAGAGCGATAGGCAGGGCTGGTGGACAGAGAGAATAGAGAGAGAATGAGGGAGAAAGAGAGGAAGATGCTACTGTCAGCCAGGAAGTTGCCAGCCAGCAGACACAGAGTAGGACACACAGAAAAAAGGTAAAAAGCCCCAAGGCAAAATGTAGATGAAGAGAACCAGGTTAAGTTATAAGAGAGAAAGGAGCCTAAGCTAAGGCCGAGCATTCCTAATAAGTCTGCATGTCATGATTCAGGAGCTGTTTCCTGGCCTGAAGGAGAAAGCTGGTACAGATGCAGTCAAACCAATTACTATAAAAGGGACACAGAACACACCAGAAATGAGGGAATGCAAGGTGAAACAGACACTGGGAGAGAACAGCAGCTGGGCAGTAGTTAAGTGGGTCAGCAGGGCCCAGGGCTAGCACAAGTCCAAGACCACCATGAGACATGTAAGCTGACACAGTCACCTGAGGGAAAGCTCTGACAATGCCCAATGCAGTGGAAGACATTGTCCCCAACTGCTTCTGGGAACACATGAGGGAGGGACAACTAGGGGTGGTCCAAGGGCTGAACGCTGCAGACCCCGAGGTTGTAATGCAGGGAGTGAAGTCCCAGCCCTTGTCCCACATCCCCCAGGAGAACTCAACACCCCCACACTGAGGAACTGGAAACAATCTGTTGGGCCATCAACCAGACATCAGCTGCAATGTTTGTCTAGAAGGGTTACCACAGAAAAATACCTGAGCAGGGGCTATTTACTCACAATGTCATAAGCATAATGCTGAATGAACAAGAGCAAGAAAGAATGCCAAATACTGTCTGAGGCCAAACTAACGGAACATTGCTTAGTAACCTCCACAGCAGTGGTAAACGTAATACCTAAGAAACGCAGCTCCCGGGCCTGGTCGCACACTGGAGCCACCTGAATATCTACTGTGCCAACACTGGGGCGGAGTCCTCTGGTGAGAAGACTGAGTGTGCGCTGGGGACCCCGAGTCAGGCTAACTAGTGCCACTAAAAAGGAGAGCAGCAAACAGACGAGGCACAGAGGCCACACCATATTAGACTATATGGCTTTCTGAAAGGATGTGCAGAGAATAAAATGAATGACTGCTTCAGCCTGTTTCTACACTCCCTAATTCTGAATGCGTTAGAGATCTAAACCACGGGGAGTGTGGGGCAGGAAGGGTGTTGTACCAAGAAACACAGCATAGCAGGTCAGTGCTAAAGAGAAACGGGGGATGGGAGAACAGGGTCTCATCATTCTAGGTCAGCCCTAAACTCTTGATCTTCCTGCCTCCGCTTCCTTAATGGAATTACAGGCGCGTGCCACCACGCCCAGTGTTTCATCTGGTGCTGGGATTGAACCTGGCTTCATGCATGCTGGGCAGGCACTCTATCCACTTAGCCCGTCCCAGCCTCAGACTCTAATTCTTACTGCAAGAGCTGATGCATAAACCCACTGGACCACTGGAGATGTTGACAAGAGCTCACAGGAAAATTCTACCATGGCCAAGACTCAACTTTTCAGAGAAGTCAGGGAAAGGTCTGCTCACTGCCACTGTGTCCTCTCAGAATAGGCATCCTGAGGGTACAATACCCAACAAATGCAAGCACATCCACTCCTGAAGGGAAAGGTGGGGCTCCCACCTACCCCCATGGAGGCAGGCTTCCGTCAGCCCGCTATTTGCATGCAGGCTCCTCCAGTAATGCCTGCTGCCAGTTGGCCCAGAGTACTCAGCACCGACCACGTGGCTCTCTAGCGTACTCACACACTTGGAACTGTCAAGTATGAGATGAGGTTCAAAGAAAGCCACGTACTCAATGTCACAATTCCAGTAAATGGCTATCGAGGCAAAGCTGGCACTATGCCGGACACGAGGAAAGGCTCCATAAATGTCATCTGTGAATGCCATGTGACAGAGACAGGCAGAACTCAGCCCCGAAGTACTTTCCACACCCATGTTCTTTATTCAGGAACTGTGTACACACGGTGCAGCACTTAGGCAAGTGGCAGTGGCAAAAGGGGGCCTCTCCTTAAGCCACGGTCTCTCAGCCATGCTCCAGGAGTGTCTAGCAACACGGCAGACACACTTGGTACCAGGACTCTGAAACCTTCCCTTTCTCGTGGGAAGCTCTACCGTGGGTCCCTTGCTCAGCTGTTGCTTTTGAAATTTGTCTTTTAAAGACAGTGTCTGTGTGTCTATATGAGCATGTGCATGTGGGTGTCCAGAGAAGCCAGAAGGAGGTATCGGATCCCCTGGAGCTGAACTTACAAGCAGTTGTGAGCTGCCTGATGAGGGTGCTGGGAACCAACTTCAGTCTTCTGCAAAAGCTGAGCCATGTGTCCAGCTCCAGCATTTCTGTTTGTAGCAAACTTCAATGCAGCTGGCAGTGATGGCGTCCCCAAATCAGGGTGAATCTTTAAGATGCAGGAAGTCTATTCCTATTTGTACCTAAGAACATTCCTGGGGCAGCATGTAGGCCATGGGTCAGGCTGCACAGTGTTCCCTCCAAGAACAGGACAGCTCTGCCTGGCATGGGTGATACGGAGGTCATATCAGAATGCCAACCTGTCAGCCAGGCCTCCACGGGGCTCAAGGGCTCTGGTGGCAAACCAGTGGCTGATCCACTGTGATCTGGCCTGGGTGATGGTCCGTGTCCAACCATAGAGAATAAGGATCAGGGAATCTCCGGGTTGGTGGCTGCACCTCCTTTGCTAGCTCCGTAGCCAAGGAAAAAGCATTTAACTGATTCCACAGCAAAGGGCTATACCAAGGATTAAAGAAATGATGGCTGGGAACTGCTGGACCAAGAGTTCTCCTAAGCAGGCAGGAGGCCTGGTAACTGATGGGTACACATAACATGTCTGGCATGTTGGTGACAACACTGCTTCCCCAGATGCTGGATTACCCAGACAGAAAAGGACAAAGGCTGCCCTTACCATGTGTCTACAACAGGAGTAGGCCTGCTAGCCCACAGACACTATTCATGTGAGTGGCAAGGGCTATGAACCCTGTCTGGTTTGCAGTATGGCCTCAGGCCACCCAGATGAGAGCTTTCTTCAAGAAGTCTCCCCCAGCCTTCAAAGCCTCTCAGCTGCTCTTCCAGAACCCTGCTAAGACTGTAACAGGGAGGACCAAAACACACAATGATCCTGGGTTCTCAGATAACATCTGTTTCCTCCTGCAGCTGGGGTGCCATTGTCTTGATTTCCACAAACACTCTGCAGTATGGGGTGTGACTGCAGCAAAAGGGTGCCTCCCACTCATAAAACACTGTTTTCTGAGTATAAGCAAAGTGGTGCCTAGGGCTCTGACCCACTTAGTTGGAAGAGGATCAGTAAGGGAAGCTGACCTGGCCCCTGCTTCACAGAGGCAAGCTGAGGCCTGGAGCAGGAAGAATCCTGATTACAGTCACACGGCAGAGCCGCCAGGTCAAGACCAGGCTGGTCTCAGCTCCAGTGCCACTTCCTTAGGAAGCCCTCCCTGGCCACACCCCCCCAATTCTAGTCTCCCCAAGTCTCTCAGGGCTTCCTGCACACAACTGTGTATACAAGTACTCTCAAACTCTGGACTTCTGGACAGACAGACTCCGGACTTCTTGACAGACAGATGTCTGTCAAGCACTCGAGTGTCTGTGGCACTCAGTGCAATGTCAAATTAGCGACCAGCGGCTGACGGCTGGTGGGTAGCCTCACCTTCGCTGTCGGTGAGGACCTCCATGCGCCCACTGAACATGGCCTTCAGCATGGTGTCCTGCTTGGTGAGCGTCTGCATGGTGGTGTAGTAGAGGGCTCCCCCGACATTCAGCTTCACGTACTTGGAGCTGGGGCTGGCGCCCTTGAAGGAAGTGGTGCGGGTAGCAGCCGCTGGCACCGCTGAGCTCACCACGCTTTCTCCTGACATCTCTTCCTGCCAGTGAGAAGATAGGGTCAGATGCCAGCTCCCCCTCCTCCCATCAGCCACAGGCTGAGTTCACATAGCAGTCACTGCAGGTATTACTCTGCTTTGGCCCATGGACTCATTACATTTAAAACTTTCAGTGTTGACGATTCAAGAGCTCAAAGGGAAACAAACAAACAAACCTGATTTCTGGATTCTCTTAAAATCAGAGGCTAACTGGGCTAGGTGGACAAATGCTGGCTGCCCCCAAGGCCAGGAATGCACCCCTTAGTTCACTCCAATCCACACCTAGTCTAGCAGGCTAGCCTTGCCTGCTGACCCCATTGACATGAGTTTGCCTCTAAATCTATCTTATCAGCAACAGTTGAACAGCACGTCAAGGCAGCCAAAGCCATGCCTGGGCTGCTCTACCTTCCCTCACAGTCACACGGGAGCAGTTAAAAAGACCATCTTTAGATGAACTGCAGAGTAACATGCTTTTGTGAGCTAGGCCGCTCCCCTACTCCCTCCCACTTCTACAACTTCCTATGGGGAAAGTGACCCTGAGCAAGGCAACAGCCAGATGAGGAAGCAAGTTCAGAAAAAGGAGCAATTTCCCATCCTATTTTCACCAGACGGCAAGATCCACAGTGGTCCAGACAGCACCTCCAGATACAGGGTACTAAAACCAGGGCTAGTACCTGTCCTTACCTACTTCAGGAAACTGACTTTTTAATATGAATCCATAAAATTCTAGAGCCTGAGATGTCGGGGGTCGGGGGGCTGGGTCCACTCCCTGAATCTGGGGCAAGAACTGAGAAAGAGAAAAGCAGTCTCCATAGACAGTATAGGCTGCTGGCACTGCAAGGCCTTGGAGACATCGCAGAACTAACTTCACCATCCCAGGAAGCCACTCCCATCGCACCTGAACACATGAAGGACACAGGTCTTATCCAGGATACTAACACGATCACACACAGCCACTCCTGGTTGACATGCATTCCTGCTGCTGCCTAATGACAGTACTGCACACAGCAGAGCCACTTCTCTGAACACTCCTGTTCCTCCTCTTCCTGAGGTACCTTCCTCTCTCAGTGCAACCTGGAGGTAACCTGGTCACACTAGACACAGGCATGCTCCTTGTCTCTTTTGGCTAGAAGGCACTAACAGCACAAACTTCAAGCTAACTGAAAAACGATGGCTTTCTTATTTTTTACCAGAAAGATTTTTTCCACAGTGAATGCTTATTACATTATAAATGACAAAACATATCTAACAGGCAGGAGACTAAATAGAAGCAACCTGTTGCAAGCGACTCTTCCTGATTAGTGTGCACATGCACACACAGACACAGACCCCAAAGGTGGTTTCATAAGTAAGTTTGGGCGGGGCCCTCCTGGAGTCTATGGTATGAAGCAAAAATAAAAGATGCCAGGAAGAAAGCAGGATATCGCACACTGCTCCCACAGCTTTCAAACCAGCCCCTAGAGATGCTACATTAACAGTTATGGCCAAACATCCTCCAGAAATAATGTCCACTGGAGGCAGAAGATTCTAGGAATAAAGCATTTTCCAAAACTTTGATGACCTGGAGGGCAAAAGAAAGTTACAGGTGTGTGTGGAAATACTTTACTACATCCTCTCAGACATAAACTTATAATATACATGCACACACAGAGAGAAAATATATGTAGTTTGTGGAAGCAGTCTAGCATCTTGCAAAGCACCTGATATGAACACAACCTGTGCATCTGTGCAGCCCGACTGTGATGAAGTCAAAGAACACTGACACCCTAGACATACTCATGCCCTTGACCACTTGGTTTCTGTCATTCTGACTGTGACATCCACACCACGTGAGAGGCAGGTAGAGTCATCTCCATTCTATGGCCCATAGAGGGTCCGTCACTTCTCAAAGCCATGAGGGTTGGTGACAAGCAAGCAAAGGATGTGGGCAAGGCCTGGCTGATCCTGATTTGTTCATGATGCTTGGTATATTTAGAGCTATGACACTTAAGTCAAGAAAAGGGAAAAAAAGATGAAAAGCAACATGTAGTTAAGGACTCGGCTGGCCCATATCAAAGCCCCAACTCTGTCACTTAGTGGCAGAACACAGGCAAGATACCTGAATGTCCCAGCTATCAGAGACACTGGCTTCCTTCCCTGCCAAGAGGCCAGGTGGATAGAAGCACTCAGCATAGCCCCAGGCTGGTTAAACACTCTAGCAGAAAACACTCAAATCATGATTATCAAAGTCTCAAGTCACTGTCTGCTCTTCTCCAGCTATGAAGTGCAAAACGACAAAGGCATTAAATATCACAACAGAGTCGGTGACACCATGTGAAGCAAGCAAAGCCTGGAAACTTGCCAGAATCCCCCACCCCGAGTTAACTAATTGGCCTAATGTCAGGAGAGACTCTTGGGGAGCACATTCTGGCTACATCCATATCCCCAGGGCTCAGCGGTGGTGACCTGAGGGCCTTCTGGGCAGAGACCTTGCCTGCCTTCCACAGTGATGCTTTTCAGAGGCTGATTTCACAATGGGGGTGCAAGTGGAGCATGGAGGACAGTCATCAGTAACGGGAGGGAAGGCGTCCTCAGATATGGATTTGTTTGTTTGAGATCGGTCCCAGTGCTATGAGTGAATCTAGGCTTCTTTCCTCCCCAGCAGCTTGAAGATACTAAATGGTGGCTCTAAATGGTGTCCCTCCCTGGCCACACGCTGACACCCTGGAGGAGCTTGAGAAAGACAGTGATGTTTGGGTCCTACTCACAGAAATTGATGGTTTTCCCTCGTCTGAGTGTGGCACGGGGATTCTTTAATTCCCCCAGCTGGTTCTAATACGAGGCCCAGATGACAGGCCTCTGTTCTAAAAGGTTCTGTACCCCTTAATTAGGCTATAATTAGCTCTGTGGTCTTGAAGCTCTCTAACTTCTTACTCTGCTGCCCCAGTGAATTCCTGACCCGCACATAAAAACCAACCAAAGCGTCATAAAAAAAAAAAAAAAAAAAGTCTCGAGGCCTGGCTTCAGAGGCCAAGGCAGGAAGGAGCCATCTGCATGCTTGAAAAGATAAAAAAAAAATTAAACAAAAATAAACAAAAATAAATCGGCAGAAAAGAGAGAACCATTGACTTGAGGGGAAAGCCAGACAAACAAGACAGGAAAAGTGAAACAAAACAAAATCAGAAAACAGCAAATCCCTACAGCCGTCTCGTGTGAGCAGAGGGAAACAAGACAGAGGATGAATGGTGTGCACTCAGGCCATCACTTTCCGGGCAATGTTCACAGGATCGATTGAACCCAAGTCTCAGTTTCCCAATTTGTAAAGCAGACTCTTAAAGCTAGAACCTTCCAAAAACTGCCCTCCCCCGAAGTTAAAGCATGGGCCACCTAATCCTACTTCTAGAACTTTCTTCCTACCCAGAAACTCCTTAAGACCAGATGTTTTCAAACAAAGCTACTAGTCCCCTGTGCTTACCAAAAGCAGGTTTAGACCCAAGAGCCGCTAATCTGAAGGTTGGCAAGCAGCAGGTGATGCTGCCAGTAATTTGGGTTTAAAAGGCTCTTTCAGGTGATTCGGATGCTAAGTAAGATCAGAAGGTCAGTTTATCTAATAGCCGCAGGGGATCTGAGGGGAATCCTTCCCGAAGGGAAACACCAGAGAGGCACTAAGCACTCACTCACCGTGGCTAAATCTTAACACCTCCCTAAACTGAGGTCTCTACTACAATTAAGTAAAGGCTGCAGCTCCATTGGAACCAAGCTAGGTTAAAGAAGGCAAATAACTGAAGACTTTTGCACCCCGAACTTGCTTCTTAGGCAGTCACCACCAACTCCAAGAGTCTGGGCATCCTCCTGTTGATTTTTAACAGGCTTCTCTTCAGTCTAAAGAGGATACTGTCAATACCGTTTTCTTAGGGAAGGAAGTTAAGAATTAGAAATCTTCAGGGGCTGATGTCAAACGCCTCCATTTCACAGCCCAAATCACTAATGACTTGCAGCTTGTAAAAAGAAATTGGCGAGTCCTATGCCCAGATTGTCTTGTGGTTAGGGTTGGAAACCTGGCAGCTCTCAACAAGTCCCCAGGTTACAATGCTAGCCTGGGGGCCAGCTGAAGAACTACTGGTGTTGTTGGCCTTCTCTTGCCAAGGCATTCCTTATTTTACAAGAAAGAGCTGATCAGTCAAATGCATGCTGACACATTTGTCTTCGGTTTGGGATTGTTCTTCTAAGGGAATGGGTGGCAAAGAAAGAGGACCTGGATTGATCTCTGCCCGTCCCCACCCAAGGACAAAGAACCATTCGGGGAACAGACCCTTGAGACTCCCACGTAAACAGGAACCATCCCACAGCCCAGACAGAAACAGGAGACATCCTGGGATCCCGAGGTGTGGTCACCTAAGGCCTCCGCGGAAGTGACTAGATAGGTACCCAGATGCCACTCTCTGGTCACGATTCCCTGACCTCAGACACCTGGCATCCCTCCCCAGAATTCCAAGCACTGGATTTACAGTCTCCCGTCATCTCGGCTCCAGACTGTGGGTTTAGAGGAACGTGGAAGCCCCTTCCTGTCTTGCCTGGAATACAGCCACTCAAGACACGGCCTCCAAGATGCCAATCGCTCGGCCCCAAGGATTCCCGCTCGCCCCTCTCCACAGGCCCTCGAATCTTCATTTCCCACCCGGAGCGTCGGTCTCGATGCCGCCTCTTTGTCCTAACAATCCTC